GTGATAAAGGCTCTGGAATTACCTGGGACCCAGTGTCTCCATTCTTAGGCTGGAACCTCATGAGGCATAGGCAGAGCAGCTTGGGTGATAAGTACTGTGGAAACTGCGTCTGTTAGAACTGAGTTGTTCTGGTTTTCTACCAGTTACAAGGCTCTGTGATCTTGGACAGCTGGTGCTTCAGAGACCCTTTCCTCTGGCTTTGATACCATTAAGATAAGACATTTGGTTGGTCAACATTTTTATGACTTGTGTGGTGCATATGTAGTATTATCTTTACTGGTATTTCTTAATATTTTCTTTGAACTTTATAAAGAATATAATCATATGGCCTTAACTTTGACACGTAGCTTCCAAGTGTTGTGTTAATAGAAAGAAATGCTGAAAATATGACATTTTCCAGTTCACATAGGAGAAATGGAAATGAAAGGGGAAAAAATAAAACCCCAATACTTTTATTTATTCAGATCTCTCCTGATCAAAATGGAATTAAGGCAGCTTCCAAAGTAGAAAAACACAGCATGGCAGAACTTGGCAGGAAGATGGGAGAGGAGCATAGATAATATCCAGCAAACTGCCCCTGCTATTCCTATCTTGGCTGAGGAGGGCCCCAAGCTTTCAGGAAGATTGATAAACTACACTGATGAGAAGGTGAAAAGAAACAAGGTGCCTTGGTCTGACCATTCCTGACATCAATTACCAGGGAGAAGTAAAAATGATGAATGTCATAGCCCTCTTTCTGGTAAGCCTGGATTTATGGGGCCCTTTCTCTTGTTGTCCCTCCATAAAGGTTGATGGCATCTAACAAGACCTGCATGGTAAGAGGGCATTCCTAGAGCACAGGAAGATGACTTCCAGAGCCAGTTTTATAGAGGTCTGGCTGAACCCAAGAATGATCTCAATCATGTCCCAGGAGTTTAAAAATCAGTAGTCTAGGAATGTCTGGAGGTGTGAATTTTTTTTTTTTTTTTTTTTTTTAACACCAGCACCATTACCTACCCTTCCTTAGCTCAGTGGAGAGGATCATGAGGTGATGAGCTTGGGGCAGAGAGCACAGTGCAGTAGTGGAGTTCTTGCTTAGGACACATAATGCCAGGGCTCAGTCCTCAGTACTAAATGTACAAGGGAGAAAAGGAGATGGACAGCATCTTATACATTGTCCACTAGGTTGGGCTCTGCAGAGCATTCTGTGTAACATTGATGAGGTCAGGGCTACACTTACAGATAAGAAAACAAGTCTGTGCAGGGAGCTGAGCCCGTAGTGGGCCACTCTGTGTGAGCCATGCTACACTTCTGAAAATTATACCCACCTAACAGGGCTAAAATCCCCATTAGAAAGAAAGGAGGGCCTTCATCGAAACACTGATGAGATAGACAGTAACATTCAAGATGTATTCATTCTTGTAAACTAAGAGAAAGCCAGGCATAAGGTTTGCTACATTCATGCAAAATTTAAAGCTGTAACATTTGGTCAGTTTTAATCCTGACTTGTACCTGTTGCTTTATCTAAAGTTAACAGGCCCTGCAGACACCTGCTGTTTTGTTTTATTTGTTGCTCAGACTGGTCTAGAACCCTCAGTCCTGCCTCAGCCTCTCCAGCACTGACATAAATGTGGCCTGTGTTAGCAACAGAGCCCTGGCTTCTCCCTGTAGAAGGGTCTCCCTTGGCTTGTCCCAGGAGAACATAATCTGCTGTCTGTTGGAGTAATTAAAGGGCTCCCTGTGTTTGCCCTACAGGGCTTCCTGTGGCCACTATGCTTCATCTATCAGACAGAAGCAGGAAGAGAGCACCCACCCTTATCGGATCAGGATTGGCATCACTGCCCTTTTCCTGAGAGAGGAGTAACTTCCTCTTGCACTAAAAGAAAATTGATTGAAAAAGACAACCAAAAAAGACTTTCTCTGTGAAAATAATCTCCAGTTTCTGCATTAAGACTTTTGTTTAAAAGCAATAGATGTTTCCTGAGTCTCTGAAATTGTCTTTGACTGTTACGAACTGCTTTGACAAAAAAGTTTTTCTAAAAATCTTCCTTTTCAAACATGCCTGTCAACTAGCTGAGGCATTTACAAAGATGTAATTCAGACATAAGACAGTCCAGCTTTAAAGGCTCGCTTGGAAGTACTTTTACCACCCTGGAATATGGTAGACTATCCATCCCTGACTGCACAATTTCAGTGTTTTAAAATTTTTTCCACAATCTCCTGACACTTGTATGAACTCATAAGCAAGGAAGGCTTTAGGTAAACAACAGAGAAACGTGTTCAGGTTGTATTGAACAATAAAAATGTTAATTTTTCTAGTGTTATGTCTTTCGTTCTGGGCTCAGTTCAGCTCCCAGCACCAATATATAATTTCATTTTCTGTTTTTATTTTTAAAGTTATTTTAGAATTGTGTCCCTCTTTTTTTCTCAAATGTATAATCCTGTGATTTTTTTTAAAAAATGATATTATTCCAGCAGTTAAAGAAATTGGAGTTAATTACAGAAATAATCATAAGATCCGACCCGTTGGACTGTGTTCTGTTCTTTTGTTCCTGTCTACTTCTGTTCACTTAAAGAGGTTTTCATTATATCTGTTGATTGATTGATTGTGTAAATGTGTTGGCACAGGTGCCATGGAATGAATATAGGTAGAGTCAACGCTCGCCTTTCCCCATGTGGGCTCTGGGGATTGAACCAAGGTCAGTCAGGCTTGGCAGCAGGTACTTTCTATCTATTGAGCTATCATTCTAGTCTGTTGTGTGTCTGTCTGGCAGTGCTTTAGACTAAAATCAAGAACAAAAGAAACAGGATATTGCCCTTTCAGGACCTTAAAGTATGGTTAGGGGAACTAGACATCCGATCAGTTAATAGTAAAATACATAAACAATAGTGCAGAAAGATGGCTTTGCAGGTGAAGGTGATTGCTGCCAAGGCTGATAGCCTCAGTTTTACCCCCATATCCCATGAGACAGGAGAGGCCTGGACTTGCACAAATTGTCCTTTGACTTCCACTCACATGACATGGCATTTTCACACCCACACTCCCACACACACATCCATAATAAATTAAAAATAAATAGCCATAAGTCATGCCATACTGAGTGAGCCTAACATAAGATGTAGGTTTAATTTCACTATCTTAACACTGGCATAAAAAATGTCAAATGTAATTGCATTGTATAAAATACACAATGGTAATAATAGGTGGTGGGGGAAGGGCTTTTTGAAGATCTGGAAACTTAAAACTGCTTTAAAATGAGGTCTCAGTGACAAAGAGTGGTGGAAGACAACACAGGCAGGGTGTTATTAGAATGCTGGGAATATTAGACTTTGAACTTCAGACATGATACTTCAGGTAGAAGTCAGAGGCAGGCAATGGGTTTTCAGTAAAGCAGAACGAAGGAATTACGATTTCCTTTGGAAAGACACTCATGGCTTCTCTATGGAAGGGATTGTGAGACAAGGGAAAACACTGAAGGCCATTCAGTCTAAGTCCGAGCCCTTGTGCACTCCCTGTGCTGGGCAGAGGTGAAAGGGACTTTTTGCTGGGGCCAGAATTCCAGATCTGTGTTCCTAAGATATTACTAGTGGCTATGTGAGGGTTATGGATTTGATAACAATCTTTTGAGATTACAACCAAATGGAAATTATAAGACAACCCCCCCCAAAGCCTTTAAATACTATCCAGTCACAATAGGTTCTCTGTGTAAAAGTTAATTTGCAGTAGTTTTCTTTCTTTCTATTAATAAGCTCTTTGCATTGAGCTGTTTATGCTAGTGTTCCTAAGGGGGGTAAACACCCCAGGGGAAAAATTACTGAGTAAAGGCAGTGTCTGCCAGCATGGCTATATATTGATTCTGAAATTATGAGTAGCACGAAGCTTGAATAGTTCAAAGTTCTTTCTGTTTAAAATTAAGTTGATCTGCATAATGCATTGTTGATCATTTTTGTCTGTTTATGAGTGTGTGCTTCCAGGCTTTCCAAAGCATTAACTATTTCTATGCATTGCCCTTAAAGTAGGATAAAATTGGATGTTAACAGTTGTACACACGTTATGTAAGATCATTTAATATGTGTAAGAAACTTAGCAAATGAATACGCACTTTTGTATCAGGGTAGTGAGGTACAAAACTGACTGCATCTACCTACACTCCAGAGTTAGGGTTTATTGTTTTTGTTTGGTTCGCGTTTCTGAAAATACAAACACCGCTTTAAAAAAAAAAAAAATAATAATCCCCTGCTCGAGCAGGCAGTCATGTTGTTTATTTTAGGACAAAGCCATCTTTAGTGGCCACATGAGGGTCCGGTCCGGCTGCGCTTGGGAATGGAGGGTACAATAAAGTTTTCCACTCTGATGTCTCATTAAGCAGCTCCTCTTTGTGTAAAGTACTCCGTGGCAAAGTTGCTTCTATTTAAAGTCCGGAGTTTGATCTTGGCTTTGATCTAAACCTTTTGATCTTGAAAGAAGGATGGAGTAGCAATAAAGAGGGCCCGACAGACTTTCTTTAAAGAAATGCGATAAAGTTAAAGGGCGGCAGAGTCAGCCAGCCCCAGCAGCTCAGCAGCTCGGCAGCGTCTTCTCAGGCCTAGCTGGCGCAGCGGGATGGAGGAAAATGGGGCGAGTCCATCCCTGGCTCAGAAACAGGAGCCCCCACCCCCACCCCCTACCCTCGCGCTATGCAGGTCCTAGGCGACTCGTGCACGCACGCAAGCTGGACTTCCTAGGTCACCTACCACCTTGGTGGTGCTGGCAGGAAAGTCACTTCCCCTCCGAACCCCAGGCTCAGGGTCCCTCCATCCCGCAGCCGGAGCCTCAGTTAGACCCAGTGCTGTGTTGTGTTCGTGCGTGGGTGGGTGGACGGGTAGGGCGAGGTGCGCGGGGGCGCAGGCCCCGACAGAGAACAATAACAGACAGGTCCTGGGCGCCTACACCTTTAAGGCAGGCCCCGCCCCGCGCCCGCCCGCCGAGGTGTCGCGCTGGTGGCGCTCCTCTCCGTGAACTTGACTCGCTTTCCCCACAGGCGCTGCAGGAGGAGCGCCAGGCCGAGGACTGCGCGCGGAGTGGACTGGCACGGCAAGTGGGCTGTGAGGTGAGTGCGGCGGGCAGAGGTGGCAGCAGCGCCGCCCTCCAGGTGAGGCGGGCACCCATACCTCGGCCTGCTTGAAATGCTGTTGGGTTTTGACTTCAGGTGGCGAAATGGATTCGAGTGAACCGCAGACCCCGAAAACGCAAGCGAGGGAAGCGAGAAGCCGCCTTTGAAAAGGTAAGGGGCCGGGGTGGACGATGCTGGAGGAGCTCCTGTGTGCTGCCCCGTGCCCAGGATTCGGTCTCCGCTATGGGAATAGCGTTTTCGGAGTTTGTGCTAAATTCCCAGCAAGAAATCGCTCTACCTGTGTGGGCTGCAGATAAACAGTGGTGTCCCCTGTGACAGAGATGGGGGCCTGGCAGGTGCGCCTTACACTGCCGGGGCTTCCCTGGGACAGCTTTTTCCAGGCAGACCCTCTTAGGCAGGCAATAGCACAGGGGCCACGCAGCCAGCCCCCTACCCGGAATCCTGTGGGAAATGGCAAGGGGGCAGTGTGAGAAGTGGGCAACTTCAGACATGCCAAGACCGATTTTTTTTTTTTTTCTGCTCAGTGAGTTTATCCTAAAGAATTCAGAATTTTAATAGTTACTTTGTAGATCTTGCTCCCTGCTTCCCCTTGTGAATTGAAACTTGTGATACATATTTTGAAATCAGGTAGCTTATTAGTCCCCATTTACTTACTGAAAAGGCGGCAAATGTTAATGGCATATTTTGATTTTCTCAGTTTTGCTTAAATACACTTTTGCAGTTGGGATTGGGGGTGGGGGTTGTTAATAGCACCAAAGGACTAAAATAGCGGTGCGTTGTTGTTCTACTGCTGAGATAGATGATGAATCACTGGGTTAGGAAGCCAAATGCTGGCTGATAGAGATGCTGCCAACTCCTGTAAAGTGTTGCCTTAGTATGGGCATCACAGCATCTGCGAATGTCCACAGAGCTCGCCATGATGACCATGTGGGGTTTCAGGGTGCACTTAAGGGCACTTGGGGCTACTTGGAGGAGACCTGGCAAAGATGTAGTACTGGTGCCATGCACGGGGCCCAGACTCTGTGAGAAGGTTCCCCATAGCCTTCTAACGAGTGAGCTGTGTATGTCAACCTAGTTGAACAGCGATAAGAAAATAAGTCTTCTAAACAGATGGATTTGGGGCTGTACCTTACCATGCTATGGCAGGTTATAGTTGTACTCTCACAATTTAGGTGGCTTTAAAAGGTTTGTGACTGATGAGTGAGATCATAAACTACTTAAAGACTGAAAAGCATTATGGTGCGCCTAACACTTGAGCAAACGTTTGTTGGTATAATCATTATACAAAAAATAAGATCAGCCACACATGAGGGGGGGCAATGCCATTAATAAGCCCTTGGTATTGTGGCTACCAAACTCTGAAGCACTGTCTCTGAGCACTGAGGAGTTGAGAAAGCTGAGGCATCCACCGTCCAGTACAGATGTCCCTCTTCCCCCAGCCAGCCCTCCATGGTGTCCTGTTAGACCTTCTGGAAAATGCGCCTCCGAGTTACTTCCTCCACAATGTGGGGAGTGGTTTTCAAGAATTCAAAGCTGAGCCGGATGGAGTGTGGGGACATCTGCTGTGCCCAGTGACATGTGTTTGTGTCGGTGTCCCCATTCCTTTCTCCTAAGTCCAGCCAGCACCAAGGAGTACTTTTCCTCTGCTAAGCCTGGGAGAAGTTCAACGTTTGACAAACAAAGCAGACACTCTGAAGAGCTAGGTGAGGAGTGAGATCTAGTACCCAAAGGCATTAGAAAAGGATCTGAGAGGCATAGGAGCTAGAGGGTATGAGTCCCCCAACTCTGAAGTGTAGACTGAGCACTAGGGTGAGTGTTCAACCCCAGTTCAGTGCCAGGACTTGATCCTGTTGCTGGTGGGAACCTCAGTAGGTCACTCACTGTTGATTCTGATAAGGTACTTAAAGAAAAAAGTCTGTTGAGCTTGGCTTGGAGGCTACCTTAATTTCTAGCACTCAAGAGGCAAAGGTATGCATACCTCTGAATTCAAGGCCAGCCTAGTCTACATAGTTGTAGAACAGCCAGGGCTATATAAAGAGATCCCTTCTCAGAATAAAATAAAAATGAAAACAAAACTCAAAATGTCTGCTGGGCCCCAAGCAAGTTAACCCATGTGTCCTTTTTGTGTCCCCGCCGTGCATATTTCTGCTTTCACTAGTTTGTCACTGCCAAGATGGAAGCGTGCATGTCAGGTGTGTATGTTCTAGACCCGGCTGTTGTCTGCTCCTTTGTCTTCTTTGCCCTTGCCCTCTCCCCTGATGACCAGCTGTCTTCCCTCCCTGTCTTCTACCTTCAGGCCTCTTTCAGGAGTCAGCCTAGATTAGACTGGACTGGACTGGCCTGGGTGGGTTCGGTTGAATAGTGTGTGGACAGACCTGAGTGGCTCTGGCTAAGTGGCCTGTACTAACTATGCTAGAACTGTACCACTTCCCTTCCTTAGCCAGATGCAGCTTTTACTGCCTGGTGAAAAACAGAACCTCCTGGCTATTTTGAGAAAGGAAAACAGCCATGGCAGCTGGCCAAGCTTGGAGCTATGTGGAAAGAATGTCATTTTATGAGAGACATTTGTTTTTTCCTTAAAGAAATTGTCTCAGGCACAAAGTGGTGGGCGCATTCTAATGGAACCTGAAATATTAGCTGAGAGTTTCAGCCAGAAAAGCAGCTCAGTCTCCCTGTGATCAGCTGTAAAGAAGCAAATGGAGCAAGTTGAGTGACTGCACCCCCCAGATAAGTGGTTAGAATGCCCTCCGGACTCCCCTGGCCACTTGTAACTTCTCTTTCCGGCCATTGCTGTTTACTAGGGAGACATCTCAAAGGACAAATCATTCTTCCCTTTGCCTTTTCTTGGGATGGCCCTTGATGTTCATTTTCATGTTGTCCTAGCCCCCATCTCTCTCCCTCTCTCCTGCTCCTGGAAAGTTTCTCCATTCACTCTGACATTCTTCCTTTTTCCATTATTTTAAATGCCTGTTATTTAGCTTGAATAAATTCTGTAACAAAATACTGAGACCACTCCTAGGCCAGCTCTGCGGGGCTAGCTACAGTTGTGATTGCGACAGTGAAAATAATGGGTATTAAATAATAGCTTTTGCTACATGATCTGTTGGCTTTGGAAGAACATATTAACTTTTAACTCAAAGGTAAACACAAATTATGTGTCATCACTAGAGAGTAAGGGCTAATATTTTAAGGTATACACATGTGAATAAAGTTTAGACAATGTCATTATCCTTAGAATTAAAATATACAATACAGCAGCACTTTATGAAAAGTATGGTTTGAAGAAAATGTGGTAGAGTTTAAAGGAAATAAATTCCTGTTGTTAGAGTGAGAAGAATATGCCTTCTTGGTTTCTGCACATCTGATAACTTACAGAAAACAGCCCTTGCCATGTCCATTTCGGCCTCTGTGTGTATGCTGAGCTTAGAAGTCTTCATGGGCTTCCTTTCTAGCCCCTGCAGTGACTCACAAGCTATCCTCTGTGCCTGGTGTGTCTGAAGCAAGCATCCAGGGTGATTTGGCCGGCCTTTGTGAGCTGTAACAGCCGAGCTAACAGTTTGCTGAAACTTGCAGTGAAATGTCCAGGTTAAATATAAAAACTGGATGGGAGCATGAGACACATGGGCCTGGAAGAGCTGTTAATGGCCAGTGACATCAAGGAGCCAGCTCTGTTTGTTCTGTTAAAGTCCTAATGTTTGGAGCATTTGACTCTGCTTTCACATCATTTTTCTTGTTACACACTGGACTCTGAGCCACACAGCCAGGGATAATCTCTTTTGGGACAATAATTCATGATGATTTTTAAATCTGTGTGAACCCTGGGAGGTCTGCATGCTCCACACCGCTTCCCTCTTTTGGGGTGCATTGCTGCCGTCGTGCTGTGTACACTTAGAATGTTAAAGATAGGTGGTTCAGGCATTAAGTTCTTACCGCTGTTTGTCTTTTGTGACATAAGTCTTCTATATTCTATTTTAGTTCTGGAAACCTTATTTAAGATTTGCTTGTTTTTTTTTAAAGTTACTTAACTCTTTCCTGGCCCACAGTAGCAGGTGGTGGCTTATAGGCTTCATTCACTTGTAACCCTGCAGACACAAGCGAAACCAGCCTTTGAGAACTTGGAGCATGCAACTAAGTACCGGCACTTAACTGGTAGCTACTGCCCGCACTCAGCAACCTGCTGGGTTTGGGTAGCTGCCCTTAAACCTGAGGCAAGGCTCCCCTGGAATTTCCTAAGCGTGGTTCCCTTGCCTCTTTTTGAGAGTATGGTTGCTTTGTGAGAATCCATAGCTAGCACACACTTGCAGAGCCATGGTCTCATACAATAGCTTCTTTGATTCTTGATTTCCATAGAAAAGCTTTATGGCTTCTAATGAATCACCAGCAGCCCTCCACCTTCTCAGAGAATGTCTTTGTGTCCTGTGCCTTGCCTTCAGAGAGAGGCTTATGTGAGGGATGGAGGTAGAGTAATTCATGAAGAGTTGTTATGAAGCAACCAAGCCAAGAGTGAGGTCTGTCTACGGTGCATATATTGCTGAAATGCCCAGATCTTTCTGAGTACCTGGGCCTTGTTTCTGCACCTCCTTATGAGACCTTAAATACATTATTGAACATTCTATATCCAAGTCTCTTCTCAGATCAGATCATGCAAGATCTTGACATCTTTTGCTCTCTTTAAGTTGGACCAAGAGGAAACTGCTGATAAAATATATTTTTGTGGCCTGAGGAAGACAGTCTGATTTGTGTAATTTTATACCATTAAATTTTCATCTGTTCCATAGATTGATTTTTTTTAAGAGTCTGCATTTAAAACCAGAAGAGATTCTGACAATTCTGTGTGTCCTGAAATCCCTGCCAGCTTTAAACTGGTGTAATAGGGAAAACTTAAAAAAAAAAAAAAAAGAAAAAAGGACCAGGGTTGCCCTCAGCGCTTACTCCTAACACACTATCACGCACTTATGCTCAGGCATTGCTCACAGACCTTCTAAATGGAACCATTAACTCACTGGTAGCTAACATTTGCTGCAAGCCCAGTCCTGAGTGAACTGTGTGCAGCAGCTGATGTAGATGTTCTACTAAAGCCTGTCACCACCACAACATGGCAGACACAAAGGCAGTGTCAGCTGTGTCGGACACTTTGTGTTAGGAGGGTA